CAGGACCTGGCATTGTCTATTTCTTTGTTCTTCATAGGTGTCCCCAGCCACACTGCAAATGCCATGAAGGTAGGCTGGAGTCTATCTTGATCACATGTGTACTCCAAGTTCCTAGTACAGCACCTCTATGTGCTAAATAAATGTGTTAAGGATGTTGGGACAAATGAAGAGCTCCCAACCTGGAGGAGGATGTTGGAGGATACTGGAGGAGTACCCTTTTTATGAAATGTGCTGGAACAACGGAATAGTCATCTACAAATAAAATAAAACAAAAACACTTTGACACTTACTTTGCTGCACACACAGAAATTAACTCAACATTATAAATCTAACAAACCACCAAACTGCTCAAAGCAACCATAAGAAGAAATCTTAACGACCCTGGATTTGGCAAAGATTTCTTACATGGGGCACTGAACGTTTGAACTGTAAAAGAAAAAAAGTTAAATAAATTGGACATCACAAAAATGTAAAACTTTTGCTCTTCAAAAGACACAAAAAGGCAAGCCAAGACTTGGGAAAAAATACTACTCATGAAACACACATTTAACAAAGGACATTTACCTATAAACAAAAACTGCCCTATATCCCCAGCTGCACATGGGAAATAGTTCTAAACAGATGCTTCAGTGATGGAGATATACATATGGCAAATGGCAATTACTGAGCTTTTTACTCTTGATGCTAGTTTATGAAACTAGACTGCTCTCCTAATACTGCTGAAAATAACAGCTAAATAAAAAGAAAACAGCTGTTTTTCCCCAAAGCCACAAAAAAGAGATATTATTCTGCTCCAAAATATTATACTGCAAAACAATATATATATATATTTTGGTGGGAATATAGATTTGTGTAGCCATTATGAAGAGAATATGGAGGTTCTAAATAAATTTTAAAATAAGTCAGGTGAGTTGGTTCATGCCTGTAATTCTAGCACTTTGGGAGGCCGAGGTGGGAAGATTGCTTGAGGCTGGGAGTTCAAGACCAGCCTGGGCAACATAATGAGACTCCATCTCTATATTTTAAAAAAGATATTAAAAACAAAACTACCTTATGCCCCAGTAATCCCTCTTTTAGGCATATATCCAAAGGATATATAACCACCATGCCATAAATATATCTGTCCTACCATGTGTATTACAGCACTATTCACAGTAGCCAAGATGTGGAAACAACCTGAGTGTCTTGTCAACAGAGAAACAAGGGATAAATAGAATATTATTCAGTATTTATAAAAAGAGACATCCTGCCATTTGCCACAACATGGAGGGACATGGAGCACATGTTGCTAAGTGAAGTAACCCAGACACAGAAAGACAAATACTCCATCATAAGACAAATACTCCATCATTTCACTTGTAGGTAGAATTGAGAGAGAGTCAAATATACAGAGATGGAGAATAAAACAGGAGCTAACATGAACATGGGGGAGGTAGAGATGGAGACATGTATGTTAGAAGTTATAGATACATAGGATAAAAAACTCCAGAGATCTGATGTTCATGAGAACTATAATTAATAAAACTATATTTGGGATTCCTGCAAAATAAGTAGATTTTAGCTGCTCTTGCCACAAAAACAAATAAAAATGGGTAACTATGAGATGACAGATATGTTAACTTATTTCACTATAGTAACCATTTTACTATCCATATGTATTTCATGACATTGTGTTATAGACCTTAAATATACACAATAAAATCTATTTTTTAAAATAAAAATACTATTTTTAAAAGGAATCTTGTAAGACACCTGAACTTCAGAGCTTGCTACCCTGTCCTGCGATAGCAGGCTTTAACACTAAAGTTGTAACTTGTTGGTTTTCTTGTTAAATCACTTTTTGCTCATTTAAATGTATATTATTATATCTTTCTACCTTCTATAAGACATGAATATATGTGAGGTTTTTCAGGAGAGTTTATTTTATTTTAAACTTACTTTTGTAATATAAAAAGAGAAGAAGAGAATTACTGGTACTGCCTTCTTTCTTCACATGCTTGAAGGTTTAAAACAAATCTGCGACTGTTAAATTATTTAAACAAGAGTTTAAGAATCTGTTTCTTCTGAATAAATGCCCTATGTCTTAATAGTGAATTGTACTGTTAGATCTTACAAAAATGAATGTGAAAGGGAATGTTCTGCAAGATGGAAGAAAATTGAAAATTTAGATCTTTGTAATTTTTATGGTTAATTTTCTATTAGAGAATAACAATAACACTGCAGCACCCTAGAACATATATGAGGGAAAAATCTTTCACAGTGATTATAGCCTGACATTAACAGTATTTGCATTTTTGTGTTTCCCAAGCCTGTATTTTCCTGTGGATGTTAAACCATGGCTCTAGCTATAATCCTTATGTATATGAGTATTTCTACGCATATTTCATAAGGGTCTAATCTTAGTGTGCAAACAATTTTCTATCTTTTCTACCGTACTACCTAATATATATATATACACGCACACATATAAAATTGTATAGGCTCACTAATATCATTTAGTGACTAAATAATTTTCTACCTTGTGATGTCATACACATATACACACATATAATGCCATGTGATCACTGAAAACATTAATTTAGTGAATGAAATTTAATGACATATATAGTTATTGCAAATATCCCTTGACTGCTACTATTAGGTTGCCTTCCATTGTTCATCATGATGAATTATGCTGAAATTATCTTTATGTACCTAAAACTTTTTTCATAATTTGAATTGATTTCCTAGAAAAACTCTAACAAATAGATTTACTCTATCATAGGTTGTAAGCATTTTATGATCCTTGATAAATTATGCTTTTCCAGATGATAATAATTTACGTAAATACAAATGATGTCTAAGAGATTGCATCTTGACACAATTGGCACCATCACTAATTTTCCCAGTGCTAATGGTGTGTACAAAAAAATGCCAACTGGTTTTAATTTGCATTAATTTATAAGAAGGATAATTATACATTTACTTCTTAATAATTTGTTCCTTAATTTTATATAAAATTTCAAATGGCTTCATTTTGGAGCTCAGATATATATATATATTTTTATATAGTTATATACAAATGATACACATATAATTTGCCTATAGGGTTTTAAAAATCAAATTGTAAGGATTGTTGATATTAGAGAGAGATTTAATTTGCTAAGTTTGCCACAAGTATCATACCAAATTATTTTATTACCTTTCTTAAATACAAGTTTAATATTTTTATATTCTTTTTTTTTTCTCCTGCCTCAGCCTCCTGAGTAGCTGGGATTACAGGCACGCACCACCATGCCCAGCTAACTTTTTGTATTTTTAGTAGAAACGGGGTTTCACCATATTGACCAAGATAGTCTCGATCTCTTGACCTCGTGATCCACCTGCCTTGGCCTCCCAAAGTCCTGGGATTACAGGCTTGAGCCCCCACGCCCGGACTTATTTTTACATTCTTAAATCTAACTCGGGGTTTGTAATGTGTATTTATTTTATGGATCCTAAGCCTGAAAAACTCATTCCGCTATATATTTTGGATAAATGTTTGATGTTAGTCTTTTTTAAAAATGTTTTATATTTTTAAAATGTGACACAGGTAACCATAAAGTATATATAAGTATGCACAATTTAATAATTATAAGGTGAACACCTCTGTAACCACCAACTAACTCAATACATCTAACATTTCCAGCATTCTAGTAGCTTTTTGCATGTGGCTGTCTGATCACAATCCTTCTTTCCCCTCCTGGAGGTTCCCATAAACAAACCTGACTGGTGAAAATCATTTTCTTGCTTTAAGCGATTTAATTTTGTCCATGTTTACCCAAAATATTGTACCATACTATATGCATTATTTTGTGTTATGTTTCCTTTGCTCACCATTATGTGGTTAAGATTACCCATGAATTGCATTTAGCTGTTAAGTTCATTTCCTTTGCTACGGACTACTCATTTGGCATTTCCATGAACAAGTGCTATTATGAACAACTTTATACGTGTATTTTAGTGCAAATGTGCAAGATTTGCTCCAGAAAAGTACTTGGGAGTAGAACTGCTGGGTGCAGTCTACTCATGTCTTAAACTTTTATATAACCAAACTTTTTTCCAATATGTGTATACTAGTTCACACTCCCACCAGCAATACATGAGAATTACCTTGCTCTACACTTCTCACCACTTAATATTGTGAGCACTTTACTTTTCTTGGTATGGTAGTTTGAAACAGTAAGTCAGTGTGATTTCAATTTGGAGTTTTCTGATAATTAATGAAGTTGACCATATACTCATGTTTTTAGCCATTTATATTTCCTCATTTGTGAAGTGTATGTGCAATTCTTCTGCAACTATTTTCAATGGAGAGATATGGTTTGCTCATTGATTTAGAGAAATGTTATATTCATCTAGACACTAGTAGCTTTTCTGTATAATTTAAAATACTAAATCAAGTCACAATTTAAATAAATTTGAACCTTTTGTGTTGTTTTAAAAACTTATTTCCTACACTGAACACTGATATCATGGAAGAAGTTTCCATTATTGTGACCCTAAGTGCTTTCAGGTATTATTTTCTCATATTTAGGCTTATAATTTACCTGAAATTGTTTTAAGTACAGTATGACATAGTAGTCCAATTTCATTTTCTTATTTATGAATAACTTCTATTTTTAGTTTTCTATTTTTTCCTTCTGTTTGGAATTGGAACCTACATGCTTTGTTTCTATTCCTTTAGTAGCTGCACAAAACATCCCAACATGCATATCTAATTTATCACAAGCTGAAGTTAATGGTACAGGCTGAGAAGCCCTCATCCGAAAATCGGAAATCCAAAATACTCCGTTTGCGCATCACATTGGTGCTCAAAATGTTCTGGATTTTGAAGCATTTCAGGTTTTGGATTTTTGGATTAGGAACATTCAATCTATATCTTTATTCTTCTCTTGGACATTACTAAGACCTCTGACAACTTGAAGTTCATTTCTCCTCTCATCCAAACTTGTATGTTATTATAGTCGTCATGTATTTTAATTCCACTTTATTCACATATTTTGAGACAGACTCTTACTCTGTCACCAGGCTGGAGTGCAGTGGCACAATCTCAGCTCACTGCAACCTCCGCCACCTGGGTTCAAGCGATTCTTCTGCCTCAGTTTCCCAAGTAGCTGAAACCACAGGCACGTGCCACCATGCCCAGCTACTCTACATTTTAAAGCCAACTATATAGCTTTATCATGGTTTTATGCAGCTAATATTTATTCAGATTTGCCAATGTACCTGCCATTTTTTTTTGTTCACTTGCAAATCAGACCTTCCAGCCAAGATCATTTTTTTTTTCCTTTTTGTCTTTTCTCCTCAAACTACTTTTACCACAAGGCCACTTTCTACTGAAAATACCTTCAGATTACATGTAATGAGGGTTTTCTGAGCATTTCTTTTTCTAAACTTTATTTTGCCTTTATCCTTAAAGGATACTTTCAGCAGGAGTAAAGTTCTAGCTTGGTAGTTACTTTCTTTACACATCATTAAGTACATCAAACAACTATCTTCTGGCTTCCATGATGGCTCTCAATAAGGGAGCTTGCAGTCATTCATTTGAATGTAATCTGTTCATTCTGTTTACTTGCTTTAAGTTGGTATATGTGCTTGGCATGCTGCAGTTTCTATGGCTTGGCTGGTGTGGATTCTTTCTTCTTCAATTTACCCTACTTGTGATTCACTGAAATTCCTGAATCTCAAGATAAGTATCTTTTATCAATTCTGGTAAACTTTGAGATATTATCTCACCAAGTATTAATTATGCTTCAGCCTTTCTAGGAATTCTGATTAGATATATTTTAAATCTTCTCAATCTATCCTTCATTTCTCTTTCATATTTCTTGATTTTTTTTTGTCAATTGATGTTATGTTCTGAATATTTTCTTCTCTATTTTTCAGTTTACTAATTCTCTCTTCAGATGTATCTAATCTCCCATGTGTGGGGTGGTGTGGTGGTGTAGAATTCAATTGATTCACTTGTTACTTCTTGTTTCAAAAATTCTATTTGGCTTTCAAACCTGCTGGATTGTTTTAAATATTTTCTATGGCCTATAAATTTTAAAATTTGCCTTTTACTTCAAGAATAAGAATAGTTGTTTTAAAATCTGTGTCTGATACCTCCAACAACTGAAGTAGTTATAGACTTGTTTCTGCTGGTTCCTTACTTCCATGTGTAGGTTAAAAGTTTTTAAAAAGCTACAATAAATCAGAAAGTAGAGATGCATCTTCATTAGTCATGAAATCGAGGAAGACAGAAGGGCATAGTTTTTCACATACTCATGGGGAGACTTTTGGGTAGACTCTGGGCTACCCTACAGCTTTTACAAAAAGTATTGTGGGAATGTTAGTTTGACCTTCTCCCTGTAAGTCTCCAGGTATAAATATTAGCAGTCAGGTTGAGGATGCGAGGCTTATGTCAAATATTTATTTTTTGGGGGCTGCCATCTCATCAGGGCCAACTGCTTTGACTTTTAACTTGCTTTTAAATGTATCTCTGCTCTTAAAATTCATGAACTATGCCCTTACTGATATTAAGTGATTTGTCCTTTGATTCCCTTATGGTGGAAAAAAAGCCTTTATACATTAGCTTGAATTGTGACCACATTTAAAGGCACAAAAGCTGAGTATGAATTTCTTTTAAAGGCTTTCATGTTGGCTGTGAGTCCATACATTGCCTTGAAATGGCAGACTGCAATTAAACTCGTCTAAATTCCATGAACTGTACTGAGCACCCACTAGAACACCATGCACTGGCTCTGTGGATATCAGGACAAATGAGACACAGTCCTGGTTGGATCAATAGATTATTCCCTTTTCCTTTTATCTCTTATTCCTAAGAAAACCAGGAAAAGTGTGAGTCAAGGACATTAGACAGCTCCAAGTTCAATACTCAGATGTATGTGAGCTTACACAATTAAGGAGCATTGGCTTTTAACATATGAATGTTTGTAAGTTGATACCAAAGAAACTACATTTGCTAAAAGAGTGCTTGAGGAGCCGGGTGCGGTGGCTCAAGCCTCTAAACCCAGCACTTTGGGAGGCCAAGGTGGGCTGATCACAAGGTCAAGAGATTGAGACCATCTTGGCCAACATGATGAAACCCCATCTCTACTAAAAAAACAAAAATATTAGCTGGGCATGGTGGCACACGCCTGTGGTCCCACCTACCCAGGAGGCTGAGGCAGAATTGCTTGAACCCAGGAGGCAGAGGTTGCAGTGAGCTGAGATCGCACCACTGCACTCCAGCCTGGCACCTGGCAACAGAGCAAGACTATCTCAAAAAAAAAAAAAAAAAAAAAGAAAAAAGTTTGAAGCTGTCCAGAGCCATTTTCCTGATGAACAAGGAAATGGCATCATTATTTTATAGCTGTAGGATTCTCTTCTTCCTGTCTCCCTCTCCTTCTTCCTTTTCTTCTCCTGTGCTCCCCAGTGTGGTTACCCACTTCTCTGTGACCCAGCCCTAAGTCTAAAGCCCAAGTGCCCCAAGCAATGGCTGTGCAGTGCAGACATCAACTTTGAAAGAGTGCTCTGAACTCAGTGTGGAGCTGCAGGGAGAAGATATGGAGAAGAGTTTTATGTGGACCACATCAGGAAGGCAGGTTGGCTAAACGTTTATCTGAAAAGCTTTCATTTATGCAGAGCCCACCTGCTATTTGGTGCCAGCAATAGGCAAAACTGACTCACTGTGATTCATGTGACTATCCTGGCAAACTGCAACCAACTGAAGGCCACCTAAGCACCCATGCCTTGTGTGCATAACGGCCGCCATCAAGATGCTCTGAAGGGCTGCACCCTTGCAGGCAGTTCAATAGTTCAGTGTGCCAGAGACATGCTGAGGTGTCTTTCTGTCCTAGCCCTTCTCATGTCCACCTGCCTAGAGGCCCATTGAGAGCCCGAGCTCTGCTGAAAAGGTGAGGCCCTCCTATACTACGTTACACAACACAAATGTCTCACCACAGAATCTTTCATCTTCTTGGGGAGAGGATCAGCAGCTGACTCAGATTTTGATGTAAAAACTTAGGAAACAGTCTGCATTGAATGAAGGACCTGAAAGTGGAAAAACACATAGGTTTTACTTTATCAATGACGTCCCTGGGGCAGTGTTTTTGGTAAATAACTTCACCTTAGATCTCACACCCACACATGACAAAAGCAGCGCCCTCTTCATTTAAAATCTAAAAAGAGGTACTCGTTCAAGTGATCATAATTCTCAATTTCACCCTAATGAGAGCAGTCAAGTACCTCAGCAGCAGCATCACCCTCTACTGTCAGCAGTGGGACAAAGGAACGGTCCTCCATCTCTGACAGCCCACTAGAGCTTCATCTTCACAAACAATTAGCAGCAGAAAGTGAACACTGAAGTAATACAACTGACACTAAAAAGTGTGAGAACCATTTAACTTTTCTTTTTTCCATTTTTCATGCCTTTGATACTGCCGCATCTAATAGCCTAAAATTATGCTGTCTCCGGTCCTCCAAGAGTATGGTTATCTTAAATATCAAAATTTTTCATAAATTTAAACACATTACATAAGATGCTACTGTCAGTATCTGAAACTCACTCTGGCATCACTTGAAAGACTTCCAGTGCCAGAGTACATGTGACCAAAGGCTTAAAAGATATGATGAAAGGGAAGATTGCAATGTATACGTTCACGTTACTAAGGATCACATTAAATACATTTTAACACTTTGGTGCAAATCTCACTTTAAATCCAGAGGGCATTGGCCAGATTGAGAACCAACACCACCACAACAAAATAGAACAAAAACGTTTCCTTTCAGAGGTGCTGGTTTAGTCTCCACAGGTAACTGCCTCAATGCAGGGATGCAGTTTAATGGATCTAGAGAAAGTATTGTTGAGGTGGTAGCTTCTCACCCAACTCACCCAAGGGAAAGTCACAACAGGGCTTGGGTGCTATTGGCCATCTGTTCCTGCCACTGTGCATTTTACTCCAAAATCAAAGGAGCAAAGCCAAAATGTTTGCTGGATGTTCACTTTTAATTTAACTGTTACTAATTTCTGGCTGGTCCTGTATTTCTCCTGCCCTCCTCTGGTGAATGACCAGCTAGTTTAATAATGAGAGTCAAATTACAATAGGCAGTGATTTGCCATCTCCCCACCTCAGTCAGGGCAAAACGCTGTGGGAACCGCACCCCCTGCTCAGTGATGACAGCACAGGCATAGATCACTCACATGAACACAGATGGGTCACTGCTCTGCCAGCTCAGATGGTAGGAAACGGTGACCAAGAGGCCATAGAAGGCTGAGAACAGCATCAGGATGTGTTACGTGCTCCATGGATCCTAAAGAACATATGTCAGTTAGCCAAGTCACTCCACAGTTACGTGAATAGCAGGATCTCTATCAAACATTAGAAACATCTCCACAGTCCAGCTGGATGGATGCGTTAATTCCTGTGATCATTCCTGCCCATGGACATATAAGCATCTAGTGGGTACATAAAAACCTCACCTGTTGGTTTATGAACATTGATTTTGATAAGGGGATTGGGGTAGGGGGAGTTTTGACTAATTGTAAATACTTATAAGAATAAAACTGAATCTTTCCTGAAATTAAGCTTAGGATTTTTTATAGAATGTAATATTAAACATGTGTCACTCTTCTGAATTCAATGTAACAGTTATAATAATTATTTTTCTCAATGTTTATTAATTGATAGTCTAAATGGCATAAGTGTAAAAGTGGCATAAGAGATTAAACAGACTAATAAACTGAAAACTTGATAAAGATTAAAGAGAGCTGAAAGATTTCCATTGCAAGACTACACTGCTACTAAAGACTTACGATAAGATTAAATCAAAGATTGTAATGTATACATTCATGTTATTAAGGAATACACTAAATACATTTTAACACTTTGGTACAAATCTCACTTTAAATGGCGTAAGCAACGAAAGAGCAAAGTTATTTGAAATGAAAAGAGAAAGGCACTTCAGGTTTAATTTGATAGAAGCACAGATATCAGTTATCAACACATGGTACTCAGCCTCAGCCTGGTGGAGCAGAACTTGAAAAATACATGTTACCAGCCCAAGTAGTGTGGTGGCCTGGGACTCCAGGTTTTCTTCCACACACACCTGCTGCTCCCACTAAAACAAACATGTCTCTCACATGCCAAGAAGAAAACATCTACATATTAACCGTCTCAATCACCATCAACAGAATCACTGATCCCTTCTAAAAGCTAAATTTAGTCAAGAAATTAAATACTTTTTTCTCAAGATTTTTTTTAAGATGGGTTGTCAATTGTGCTCACATGATGTTCAAATGAACGAGTCAAGTGTACTTAGCAGTTATCCTCTGTAACTGCTAAGATAGGCTGGAAAGCAAATATACCCTGAATAGAGCAGGTAATTTTATTTTTGAATGCTTCATTTTCTTACAAATTAAAATGTATTTCTTTTACCCTCCCCATTGTAGAAGTCTTAACGAATGAGAGCAGTACCTGGAACACAAATTGCAGGGAGCCGACTCTCACAGAGACTGCTGAGCTGCATCTGCATGGTTATAAGGTCAGGAAGTATGACTCACTGTCTCCAGACGCATCTCCACACAGATTCCCCACACCAAGACGTCCTGCGTACCTCTGAGATCAGCTTTCCCAGAGGTCAGGTGCATTGCCTTTTCCAGTGCCCTAAGGTACCATGGCTGCATTCATTATTTTTTAGATTATGTGCAGATGTCTTCCTCACCAATTTTGTTAAAAAACTTAAACCCAGTGATGAAGCATCCTCCATGGACCTTTTCTTCCTTTGAAGTTTTCATCAGCAACACCTTCCCTTCCAGTATCCAAGGAGGAGGTGTACTTCCTCCTTCCTGAGCCAAACCCTCCCCTCAGATCACGATGTCCTACTCTTTTTCATTGGTCCCCTCTGCCCAGCCGTTAAAAATACTTAAGTTGCTGACATCTTTTTATTTTGAGATGGAGTCACTATCACCCAGGTTGGAGTGCAGTGTACACGATCTCGCCTCTGCAACAACCTCCACTCACTTCAACCTCCACCTCCCAGGTTCAAGTGATTCTCCTACCACAGCCTCCCGAGTGCCTAGGATTACAGGTGTGCACAACCACAACCAGCTAATTTTTTTTGTTGTCACCATGTTGGTCAGGGTGGTCTCAAACTCCTGACCTCAGGTGATCTGCTCCCCTTGGCTTTTCAAAGTGCTGGGATTATAGGCATGAGTCACCATACCCAGCCAGTTGCTGACATCTTTAACAAATAGTCCTCCTTCCCCTTGTTCCAGTTGCCCTCGAAAGCTACTGTACTATCTTAGTCTGTTTGGGCTGATATAACAGAATACCATAGACTGGGTGGCTTATAAACCACAGAAATTTATTTCTCACATTTGTGAAGGCTGAAAGCCCAAGGTCAGGGTGGAGGAAGGAGAAGGTTTGTTGTCTGGGGAAGTCCTGATTCCTAGATGGTGCCTGTTTGCTGTGTTCTCAGGTGGTAGAAGATGTAACAGAGCACTCTGGGGCCTCTTTTACCAGGCACGAATCCGATTAATGAGGACTCCTCCCTCAATAGCTGCAATCACCTCACAAAGTCCTCACCTCTGATACCGTTACATCGGGGATTAGGATTCAACATGAACTTTGAGGCAGACATTCAGTCTATAGCATATGCTATCCCTCTTTTTTCTTTTTCTTTTTTTTTTTTTTGAGACGGAGTTTCCCTGTTGTTACCCAGGCTGGAGTGCAATGGCATGATCTCCGCTCACTGCAACCTCCGCCTTCTGGGTTCAAGCAATTTTGCTGCCTCAGCCTCCTGAGTAGCTGAGACTACAGGCGCGTGCCACCATGCCCAGCTAATTTTTTTGTATTTTTAGTAGAGACAGGGTTTCACCATGTTGACCAGGATGGTCTCAATGTCTTGACCTCATGATCCACCCACCTTGGCCTCCCCAAGTGCTGGGATTATAGGCACGAACCACCGTGCCATGCCCCCTTTTTTCTTTAAGTGCCATCCCAGCCTTTCGAAGGTCTGGGCTCCACATTTCACTTCTGGTGGTCATCGGTGAGTAACTCAGTAGTCTCTGTTATACTGGGTACCTTTAATGACTGGAGGTCCTACCGCAAGCTGTGTGACTTTGCCCTCCCAAAGTGCTAGGATTACAGGCATGAGACACTGTGCCCAGCCTTAGTATTATTATTAAGACAGAGTTTAGCTCTTATTGCCCAGCCTGGAGTGCAATAGTGCAATCTTGGCCCACGGCAACTTCCACCTCCTGGGTTCAAGTGATTCTCAAATGATTCAATCCTCCCAAGTAGCTGGGACTACAGGCATGCACCACCACGCCCAGATAATTTTTTTGCATTTTAGTAGAGATGGGGCTTTACCATGTTGGTCAGGCTGGCCTCAAACTCCTGACCTTAAGTGATCTACCTGCCTTGGCCTCTGAAAGTGCTGGGATTACCCAATACCCACAGTGTTGGGCAGTGTGTAAAGACAGCTGGAGCCAGAATGTTCGTGAGCTGATTATTGTTGAAGCTGGGTGTCAGTACATAGGGTTCATTATGCATTCTCTAGCTGTTATAGACAGAAATTCCCATAATAATTGGTTTTAAAAGAAATCAGCCAGGCAAAGTGGCTCATGCCTATAATTCCTGCACTTTGGGAGATGAAAGTGGAAGGATGGCCTGGGGCCAGGAGTTTGAGACCAGCCTAGACCATACAGGAAGACCCTGTCTCTACAAAAAATTCAAAAAATTAGCCAGGTGTGGTGGTGCACACCTGTAGTCCCAGCTACTTTGGAGGCTAAAGTGGGAGGACCATTTGAACCCAGGAGTTTGAGGCTGCAGTGAGCTATGACTGTGCCATTGCACTCTGGCCTGGGTGACAAAAAGAGACCCTGTCTCTAAAAAATAATTTTTAAAAGATATTTAATTAACTAATTTACATATCTGAAGATGGAGTTTCACTCTGTCATCCAGGCTGTAATGCAGTGGCATCATCTCGGCTCACTACATCTCCCAGGTTCAAGCAATTCTCCTACCTGAGCCTCCTAAGTAGAGCTGGGATTGCAGGTGTGGACCACCACACCCAACTAATTTTTGCATTTTTATTAAGAGACATGATTACACCATGTTGGCCAGGCTGGTCTCAAAATCCTGAACTCAAGTGCTCCACCTGCCTCAGCCTCCCAAAATGTGAGATTCCAGGCGTGAGCCACCATGACAACCTTTTATATAAATTTTCTTTTTTAAAAGCGTTCTGGTTGGGTCAGTTGACAGGCCCCAGGTCCCTTGAGTCTCATTTACTTCCATTGCATGGCAGCAGCTTCTGTCCCTTCCCTGTTCCCCAGGAACAGGAGCCAGCACACCACTCCTTCCCTGCCCAGGTCCTCCGGCCCCACCTTGCCTCCGCCCAAGGCCACTCTCCTGGCAAGCCCACCCCAGTGCCTGGGATCTAGGGGAGGAGAGGCAGGTGGGGGTGGGCTTGCCTGCAGTGTAGAGATGATGCCAGTGGCCACCTGAAGCACAGCACTCATGGTGTCTGACACTTCAAACAAAGCTTTCCTGTCCTCCTGGGAGGAACATGGCAGAAGATGTTCCTCTTGGCACCCAGGGTCCCCACAGCCACACCCCACACTGAGGCATCCCTGCTGCCTTCCATGGGAAGAATACTCAGTACCCAAAGGAAGGGCCGAGAGCTCCAAAAGCAGCCACAGATGGGGCTGAGTGCACAGGATTGGTGTAGGTACAGCAATCTTGAGGGTCCCTGCCTGGGTATGCTAGAACCCCGAGAACTGGCACATGGTGTGTAGGCAGGCAGGCCTCCCACAGCCACTGTCCCCAGCCTCACAACTGTAGGTCTTTGTTGCAGGTGCTGGCAAGTTCCTTGAGGGTCATCAGGAGCACAGAATGTTGCAAGAAGAGGGAGGCATGGGGTTGGACCAGGAATTCTGCCCCTGCTGGGGATCTCATATCCACCCTTCCTTTCTCCCTGCCATGCTCACCTGCCCAAACACACACCCTTGCTTTGCTCCAGATCAGCTCCAAGCTGTCGGGGTTTTCTTCTGGGGCATCAGGCTGCTTCTGGTGCTGCAGACAAAGATGCAGGCACTGAAAGGGCTAGGCCCTTGTCTTGTCCAGCAGCTGACTGGCCAGGTCTGGCAGAGGGCGGGGAGGAAGGAAGCCATGCCTAAGGGGTGTGGAGAATGCAGAGGCTGGGAGGGGCAGGTGGAAGTGGCAGTTCAGGGCTTACCTGTAGGCATCTGAGAGCTACATGAAGCTGAATTCCTTGGTGCCACAGATGATGAGGTCCCTGGCCATCCTGCTGAGATGGGTCATGCAGAATGAAGCCTAGAACAGGAACTCAGCTGGGAGAAAGAAAAGATTCCCAGTCACCAAGCCTCTCTGGTACTCACCCAGCCTGACCATACAGGGAGAAAGAGGACATTAGGCGGTAGGGGGGACCTGGCTACATTTTCATTTTTTTTCCAGACAGGGTCTGTTCTGTTGCCAGGCTGGAGTGCAGTGGTGAGATCTTGGCTCACTGCAGACTCCACCTCCTAGCAATTCTCCTGCTTTAGCCTTCTGAATAGCTGGCACCATGGCCAGCTAATTTTTCTATTTTTGTTAAAGATGGGATTTCACCATGTTGGCCAGGGTAGTCTTGATCTCTTGACCTCATGATCCACCTGGCTGGGTCTCCCAAAGTTCTTGATTAGAGGTGTGAGCCACTGTGCCTGACCTAAATTTTCATTCTGAGTAAAGATGGAGTCTTGCTATGTTGCCCATGCTGGTCTAAAACACCTGGGCTCAAGTAATCTTCCTGCCTTGGCCTCCCAAAGTGCTGGAATTACAAATGTGAGCCACTGCATTTAGCCTGTTTTTTGTTATTCTTGTTGTTTTAAATAAACCAGCTTTGGCTGGGTGTGGTGGCTCACTCCTGTAATCCCAGCACTTTGGGAGGCCAAGGTGGGCAGATCATGAGGTCAGGAGATCCAGACCGTCTTGGCCAAAACGGTGAAACCCTTTCTCTACTAAAAATACAAAAATATTAACCCGGGTGTGGTGGCACGCACCTGTAATCCCAGCTACTTGGGAGGCTGAGTCAGGAGAATTACTGGAACCTCGGAGGTGAAGGTTGCAGTGAGCTGAGATCGTGCCATTGCACTCAAGTCTGGCAACAGAGCAAAACAAAACAAAAAATAAGATAAACCAGCTTTACTGAGGTATTGTTCACATAAAATCTACCCATTTATTTATTTTTATTTTATTTTAATTTTTGAGATAACGTTTCACTCTTGTTGCCCAGGCTAAAGTGTACTGGTGTGATCTCAGCTCACTGCAGCCTTGGACTCCTGGGTTCAAGCGATTCTCCTGCCTCAGCTCTCCAAGTAGCTACAGGTGCTCACCATCACACCTGGTTAAATTTTGTATTCTTAGTAGAAATGGGGTTTCACCAAATTGGCCAGTGCTGGGATTACAGGCGTGAGCCACCGTGCCCTGCCCAATTTACTCATTTAAAGTTTACACTTTAGTGTACAATCAGTCTGACCATACACAGGAGTAGGAGAAGACTGGAGAGAAGCTGGGTGGAGGGACAGAAGTGAGGCACCGGGCAGGGGACTGGCTCCCCAAAGTCACTTCACCCATGAAGTCATGCTCACTGGTGGCATCCAGGCTGTGAAGAGTGATGGCACCAAAGTTGAGTTCTGGGGGTTGGGAGGAAGCAGGGCTGGGCTGGAGAACAGGGAGTGTGGCCTCCTCTCCCCTAAGCTGGTTGCCTGGCCCCCTCCCCCTGGAAAAAGGATCAGGGAAGAGGATTAGGGTGGGTGGGGTGGGAGCTGGGGAAAGGCATCTTTTCCAGTCTAGGAGGGAGGTAGGAGCCCTGAGTCTCTCAGTACCAGGCGCCCCTGCCATGGGTGACCCTTGGCCTAGATAAGCTCAGTGCCCATAGGCAATGAATGATGGTTTCACCAGGGGCCACTAGCTCCTGCCTTCTGGTGTGTCTGCATCTCCTGGCGAGTGCTGAGGGTGACTCTCCCTAGGGAGGAGGGACAGGGTGGTATCTCACCTGCTCAGAGCAGCTCTCTGTCTATACCCAGGCAATTGCCCAAAATGGCCCTGCTTCAGGGACAGGGATTCATGGTGACCAGGGCTCCTGGCAGGCAACCCTGACAGACAGACAGAAAGACACACACACACACACACACACACACACACACACACAGAATGAAGTCCTAGTTGCCAGGGCAACCACCTGGAGCTCAACCTCTTCCCTGGCCCAGTCACCTTGGGTCCACAACACTTGTCCCCTCATGTCTCCTGAACACTTATCCCCAAGCACCGAGTAACCTTGGGTGCAGAACCCTTGTCTCCTGACACATGTCCCCATATGTCAGCCTGAGGGCAGTGGGCTGGACTCACTAGGAGCCTGAGGAGGCCAGCCCTGCTCAGACACATTCACTGGCTTGGATGTCCCCACCTTAGCAAGACCTGGGGATCCATGCAGGGTCCCCCTCTGAGCAGATAACCTGATTTTCTAACCCTTTCTGCCCTTCCCAGATGTGTGAATCCCTAGGCTATGCAGCAGCCACCCTCACCAGGCCCTTAGGGCACTGGAGTTTCACCCACCTCCCCAGGGGCAGGACAGCAATCAGCTTTTGCACCTCCAGCAGCTGCTCAGAATCTAGGGTCAGCACCATGCACCATTGTGGAAAGCCAGGGGCAGGAGAGTCAGGGCAGCCAGGGTCCTCCCATCCAGTACAGCCCCAGCAACTCACCCAGCTCACCTCAGAATCCAGTGGCTCCAGTGATGGGGTTGGGCCCTCTGCAGGTGGGTGTACCCTGGGAAGAGGATGTCATGTTCCCTGTGGGAGAGGAGGAGCAGGGACTCAGGTGGAGGCCAGGTCAAGGCCTGCCAGTGACACTGGGACACTGCAGGCCTGGGTCACCCCGGGAAGAAGTGTTGCCCTACAGCACTGCACCTGAATGAGGGATCCAGGGATCTCTCAGGGACAAATTGCTCTCAAAGGAAAAAGAGGACGAAATGGGGCCATGTGAAGAACCATGGACTAGGCCTGACCTGTGGGGCTCCTGGGGTGAGGCTTTGACAGGAACACCCAAAGCCTGAGCCTCTGTCACTCAGCATCTCCCAGCAGGGGGCTAGAAAAGGGGAGGAGGCCCATGTTGGGAATGACTTGGGTATGACTTGGGAGGTTTCATTTGAGGACCCCAGAAATAGCTGGGGCTCATAAAGAGCTGCTCAGAGCAGGTGGGATACCCTGCCCCTCATTCAAGTTACTAATTGTTCGTACTTTTAACAGAAACAGGGGTTCATCATGTTGGCCAGGCTGGTCTCAAGCTCCTGACCTCAGATGATCCACCCACCTTGGCCTCCTAAAGTGCTGGGATTACAGGCATGAGCCACTTCGTCCAGCCTGTTGCTGTTTTAAATAAACCAACTTTGCTGAGATATCACTCACACTTTAGTGCACACCCATCACCGATTTTAGAGCATTTTCGTCACCCCCTAAGGAAATTCTGTACTCAAGGCCAGGTACGTGGCTCAAGCCTGTAATTCCAGCACTTCGGAAGGCCAAGATGGTAGGATCACTTGAGGCTGGGAGTTCAACCAGACCGTGCCACACAGTGAAAACCCGTTACTACAAAAAAATGTAAAATCTTTGCAGGGTGTGGTGCACACCTGCGGTCTTACCTACTCAGAAAGCTGAGGTGGGAAGATCATTTGAGTCCAGGAGTTTAAGGCTGCAGTGAACTATTACTGAGCCACTGCGCTCCAGCCTAGGTGACAGAGCAAGAGCTCGTCTCTAAAGACAATTAAACAGAGAAAATTTGGCCAGGTGTGGTTGCTCACGCCTGTAATGCCAGCAGTTTGGGAGGTCAACATGGGTGGACCACAAGATCAGGAGATTGAGAACATCCTGGCCACATGGTAATACCCTGTCTCTACTAAAAAATACAAAAATTAGCTGGGTGTGGCACATACCTGTAGTTCCAGCTACTGCGGAGACTGAGGCAGGAGAATTGCTTGAATCTGGGAGGAGGCAGTAGTTCCAGCTACTGTGGAGACTGAGGCAGGAGAATTGCTTGAATCTGGGAGGCAGAGGTTGCACTGAGCCGAGTGCCACTGCACTTCAGCCTGGGTGGCAAGAGCAAAATTCTGTCTAAAAAAAAAAAAAAAGTTAAAAATTTTAAAATTAGGCTGGGCGCAGTGGCTTATGCCTATAATCCCAGCACTCTGGCAGGCTGAGGTGGGCAGATCACCTGAGCTCAGGAGTTCAAGAGATCAGCCTGGCCAACATGGTAAAATCCATCTCTACTGAAAAAAAAATACAAAAATTAGCTGCCTGTGGTGGCACACACCTGTAATCCCAGCTACTTGGGAGGCTGAGGTAGGAGAATCACTACCTCAGACACTCCCTGTTCTTCCTAGCAGCCTTGCCCCACCTCCATGGTCACAATTTGTGTGCCCTTATTTTCCTCCAAGTCTGAGAAACAGGGGTCACAGGGAGTTGATGAAGAGGAGATGTCTCTGACAACACGTACTCCTCAGTAGGAAAGGAAGGAAGGGAGGAAAGGAAGAAGGAGGGCAGGAAGGAGAACGGGAAGTGTAAGTGCAAAGGGAAGGGAGGAAGAAAGAAAGAGGAAAGAGAAAGAAAGAAGAAAAAAAAGAAAAAGAAAAAGGAAGAAAGGAAGTAAAGAGAAAGAAAGAAGTGGGAAAGGAAGGGAGGGAGGAAGGAAAAAGGAAGGAGGGAAGGAAAGAAAGAAGGAAGAAAGGAGAAGGGGAAGTGGAAGGGGAAGTGGAAGGGGAAGGGAAGGGAGGAAGAAAAAAAGAAAGAAAAAGGAATGAATGAAGAAAGGAAAAATAAGGAAAGAAAGAGAGGAGAGAAATAGTGGAAGGGAGGCACAGAAGAAAGGAAGGAAAGGAGGGAGGGAGGGGTGTGTCACTAAGGTCAGGTGGAAAAGGTTGGGGCTGGGCTGGGAGGCAGGAGGTGGAAGTAAGCAAGGAAGGAGAGGAGTGGAAGCAGGGAGACACTTGAGGAAAGGCACAAGAAGAGGATCGAGCAGCAGGAAGGTGCCAGGGTCTGAGCTGGGAGACAGGTGATGCCCTGTGGAACCCCCATGTTGGGGCTGCTCTGAGGAGCCAGGGTATGGCTGCAAGTGAGTAGTAGACGGTGACTGTGTGGCCACCCTCTAGTACTGAGGAGAAAGGGGTTGACAAGACTGGTGGTGGGAAGAGTCACTGGGGGTGGGGGAGCCCAGAGAGAGGGGCCCAAGGCCCAGAGAGCAGCTGCTTTCTGCCTCTGGTCTCTCATACTCTTTTCTGCACAGCTGTTCTGGGACATTCCATGACTGGGGGAGTTCATGACTCTCCTCACCACAGCTCCTCATACCCCGCCCCCTTAGCAGACTGAGACCCTCACTACAAGCCTGGCCCAAGTGCCCAGAGTCACTCCCTCCTCCCCTCCTTTCTCCCTGCCCTGCAGTCAGGGGCTCATGGCGGTCCGGGATCCCCCAGTACATGCTGGCACTTGCCTTATTTTGAGACAGATTTCACTCTTGTTGACCAGGCTGGAGTTTGGAGGCAAAATCTCCGCTCATTGCAACCTCTGCCTTCTAGGTTCAAGCATTCAAGCAACTCTCCTGCTTCAGCCTCCTGAGTAGCTGGGATTACAGGTACCCACCACCACACCCAGCTAATTTTTGTACTCTTTGTAGAGACAGGGTTTCACCATGTTGGTCAGACTGGTCTCGAGCTCTTGACCTCATGATCCTGCTGCCTCAGCCTCTCAATGTGCTGAAACAACAGGTGTGAACCACCAAGCCCGGATAATTTTTTATATTTTTTTAGTAGAGCCAGGGTTTCACCATGCTGGACAGGTTGGTCTTGAACTCCTGACTTCAGATGATCCACCTCCCAAAGTGCTGAAATTACAGGTGTGAGCCACTGTGCCCAGCTTTTGTTTTTGTTTTTCCTGAGATAGAGTCTCACTCTGTTGCCCAGGCTGGCATGTGGGGTATGATCCTGGCTCACTACACCCTCCACCTCCTAGGTGCCTCAGCCTCCCTAGTAGCTGGGATTACAGGTTCACAGCACCATGCCCAGCTCATTTTTGTATTTCTAGTTTCACCACGCTGGCCAGGCTGGTCTCCAACTCCTGACCTCAGGTGATCCTCCTACCGTGGCCTCCCCAAGCGCTGGGATTACAGGCATAGGCCACTGTTCCTGGCCATACTTGGTGGTCTTTAATGAACACCCTCTGGGTGAGTGAGTGCCCACTGGGAGCTGCCAGGCCCACCCCGTGTCTGTGGGGACTGCCTGTCCCCCACCACCTGCTGAGTTAGCTGAGCTTGTGTTCTTTCCCTTTTCTCCAGCTCTCTAGGGACTTCATAAAGCCCCCATTCCCTACCCACCAGCCTGGGGCACAAGAATCCACTCTCCAGTGTCCCTCACCTCTGGGACTTATGTATTGGTTTGGTGGTTTTCAAATGTCAGCAATTAATTTCCAGCTCATCACCGTTGTGACGACAGTGCATGTCCTTCTGGAAAAAACATGTCTCCATCAACACCTTGGTGCTGAAGGACCTGAGGGGCCCACTCTAAAGATCCATTAATTGCCAGAGAAGGAGTTTCCCATAATTAGAAAATCATATTCTTTAAAATTCCCTAAGTGCCTTTTCACTGAACAGCCCAAACCCATAGTTGTTTTATGCTTTGCAGAAAGTTACAACATGAGGCTCTCCCAGATCCACATCACCCACACACTGAGGGAGCAGGTCCAGGACATTTTCAATAGGAAATACAGTGAGCAGTGGAACACCCCCGGGGGAGGGACACGCAGACACTGTGGACAGCGAAGTGGGAGGCTTCCCACTTCCAGCCGAAACTATTCACTCCCTTACACATATTTCTTGAGGATTTACCAAATGCCAGGCATGTCTCAGGCACTGGGGATACTGCGGTGAATGAAACAGGAACTGTACTCATGAGCCTTGCACCTGGGCAACATGGCAAAACCCCGTCTCAACCAAAAATACAAATATATTAGCCAGGTGCGGTGGTGCACTCCTGTGGTCCCAGATACTCAGGAGGGTGAGGCAGGAGAATTGCTTGAGCCTGGGAAGTAGAGGTTGCAGTGAACTGAGATCACACCATTGCACTCCAGCCTGAGCAACAGAAGTGAAACTATCCAAAAAAAAAAACAAAAAAAGCCTGGGCTTGGTGGCTCACACCTATAATCCCAGCACTTTTGGAGGCTGAGGTGGGCAGATCATGAGATCAGGAGTTCAAGACCAGCCTGGTCAACTTAATGAAACTCCCTCTTTACTAAAAATACAAAAAATTAGCTGAGTGTCGTGGTGGCCACCTGTAATCCCAGCTACTCAGGAGGCTGAGGCAGGAAAATCGTTTGAACCTGGTAGGCAGAGGTTGCAGTGAGTTGAGATCGCCCTACTGCACTTTAGCCTGGGCAACATAGTGAAATTGTCTTTAAAAAAAAAAAAAAAAAAAAAAAAAAGAGGAGCATAGGACATGGTAGCATGTTGGTGTGGGCTTCTTCTTTCTTTTTTCCTTTCAGACAGTCTCTCTGTCACCCATGCTCGAGTGCAGTGGTGTGATCATGGTTCACTATAGCATCAAACTCCTGGGCTCAAGCAATCCTCAGCCTCCCAAGTGGCTGGAACCACAGGCATGCACCACCATGCCCAGCTTTTTAAAAGAAATTCTTAGGAGAGACAGGGTCTTGCTATGTCTCCCAGGCTGAACTCAAACTCTTAGACTCAAGTGGTCCTCCCGCCTTGGCCTCCCAAAATGCTGGGATTACAGGCATGAGTCACCCTGCTGGCCTATTGTTTTATTTTCTGATCAAATAGCTCAGATTGTAATGCCTATACGTTTCCACGGTGCTACAACACTTTCGCATCGTTCACTCTTCTGCATGGATGCCTTTCCATCACATGCGTGAAATCCCATGTACACACGCCCCACACTGGCTCTCACTGCCGACCAGCAGGACCCTGCCTCTCACCCACAGGGGAAGCCTTGGGCATCAGGTACAGGTACCCGGTCCAAGTGCCCTACAAGTGATAAGAGTAACCCCTGCCCCGTAATCATCGAGGGGCTGCTCCCAGAAATCCTGTTCTGAAAACCCTGCACCTTCGAGCTATCGCTCCAGCCTGCTCGCCCACCACTCAGGTCGCCCTCCTACCACTCCAGCCCGCTTTCCTACCACTCCAGCTGTCTTCCTACCCTCCGGCCACCCTCCTACCGCTCCAGCCCGCTCCCCAACCCCTCCGGTCGCCCTCCTACTGATCCAACCCACTCCCCTAAGACTCCGGCCACCCTCCTATCCCTCCAGCCCGCTCCCCTATGACTCCAACCACTCTCCTACCCCTCCAGCCCACTCCCGTCTGACTCTGGCCTCCCTTCTACCACTCCAGCCTGCTCCCCTATGACTCCGGCCGCCCTCCTACCACTCCGGCCGCCCTCCTAACCCTCCAGCCCGCTCCCCTACCTCTCCAGCCACCCTCCTACCGCTCCAGACCGCTCCCCTACGACTCCGGCCGCCCTCCTACCACTCCGACCGCCCTCCTAACCCTCCAGCCCGCTCCCCTACCTCTCCCGCCACCCTCCTACCGCTCCAGACCGCTCCCCTACGACTCCGGCCGCCCTCCTACCGCTCCAGCCCACTCCCCTACCGCTCCAGCTGCACTCCTACCGTGCCAACCTGCACCCCTACCGCTCCAGCCAGCTCCCCTACCGCTCTGGCCACCCTCCTACAGCTCCAGCACGCTCCCCTACCGCTCCAGCCGCCCTCCTACCACTCCAGCCCGCTCCCCTACCGCTCCAGCCGCCCTCCTACCACTCCAGCCAGCTCCCCTACCGCTCCAGCCGCCCTCCTACCGCTCTGCCCGCCCTCCTACCGCTCCAGCCCGCTCGCGTATGACTCCGGCCGCCATCCTACCTCTCCAGCCGCCCTCCTACCGCTCCAGCCCGCTCCCCTACCTCTCCGACTGCCCTCCTACCCCTCCAGCCCGCTCCCCTACCGCTCCAGCCGCCCTCCTACCACTCCGACCGCCTACCACTCCGACCGCCCTCCTACCGCTCCAGCCCGCTCGCCTAGGACTCCAGCTGCCCTCCTACCGCTCCAGCCAGCTTGCCTATGACTCCGGCCGCCCTCCTACCTCTCCAGCAGCCCTCCTACCGCTCCAGCCAGCTTGCCTATGACTCCGGCCGCCCTCCTACCTCTCCAGCCGCTCCCCTACCCTCCAGCCGCCCTCCTACCACTCCGACCGCCCTCCTACCACTCAGGCTGCCATCCTACCGCTCCAGCCCGCTCCCCTACCACTCCAGCCCGCTCCCCTACCACTCCAGCCCGCTCCCCTACCGCTCCAGCCGCCCTCCTACCGCTTCCGGCCACCCTCCTACCGCTCCAGCCCGCTCGCGTATGACTCCAGCCGCCCTCCTACAGCTCCAGCCCGCTCGCCTATGACTCCAGCCGCCCTCCTACCGCTCCAGCCCGCTCGCCTTGACTCCGGCCGCCCTCCTACCTCTCCAGCCGCCCTCCTACCGCTCGCGTATGACTCCAGCCGCCCTCCTACAGCTCCAGCCCGCTCGCCTATGACTCCAGCCGCCCTCCTACCGCTCCAGCCCGCTCGCCTTGACTCCGGCCGCCCTCCTACCTCTCCAGCCGCCCTCCTACCGCTCCAGCCCGCTCGCGTATGACTCCAGCCGCCCTCCTACAGCTCCAGCCCGCTCGCCTATGACTCCAGCCGCCCTCCTACCGCTCCAGCCCGCTCGCCTTGACTCCGGCCGCCCTCCTACCTCTCCAGCCGCCCTCCTACCGCTCCAGCCTGCTCGCCTATGACTCCAGCCGCCCTCCTGCCACTCCAGCCCACTCGCCTATGACTCCAGCTGCCCTCCTACCGCTCCAGCCCGCTCACCTATGACTCCCGCCGCCCTCCTACCTCTCCAGCCGCCCTCCTACCGCTCCAGCCAGCTTGCCTATGACTCCGGCCGCCCTCCTACCGCTCCAGCCGCCCTCCTACCACTCAGGCTGCCATCCTACTGCTCCAGCCCCTACCTCTCTGAGCGCCCTCCTACCGCTCCGGCCGCTCCCCTACCGCTCCGGCCGCCCTCCTACCGCTCCAGCCCGCTCCCCTACCACTCCAGCCCGCTCCCCTACCGCTCCAGCCGCCCTCCTACCGCTCTGGCCGCCCTCCTACCGCTCCGGCCGCCCTCCTACCACTCCAGCCCGCTCGCCTATGACTCCAGCCGCCCTCCTACCGCTCCAGCCCGCTCGCCTATGACTCCAGCCGCCCTCCTACCGCTCCAGCCCGCTCGCCTATGACTCCGGCCGCCCTCCTACCTCTCCAGCCGCCCTCCTACTGGTCCAGCCAGCTTGCCTATGACTCCGGCTGCCCTCCTACCTCTCCAGCCGCCCTCCTACCGCTCCAGCCCGCTCGCCTATGACTCCAGCCGCCCTCCTACCGCTCCAGCCCGCTCGCCTATGACTCCGGCCGCCCTCCTACCTCTCCAGCCGCCCTCCTACCGCTCCAGCCTGCTCGCCTATGACTCCAGCCGCCCTCCTACCGCTCCAGCCCGCTCACCTATGACTCCGGCCGCCCTCCTACCTCTCCAGCCGCCCTCCTACCGCTCCAGCCAGCTTGCCTATGACTCCGACCGCCCTCCTACCTCTCCAGCTGCCCTCCTACCGCTCCAATCCGCTCGCCTATGACTCCAGTCGCCCTCCTGCCGCTCCAGCCCTCTCCCCGATGACTCTGGCCGCCCTCCTACCTCTAGCCCGCTACTTTAGAACTCCGGCTGCCCTCCTACCGCTCCAGGCAGCTCCCCTACGACTCCTGCCACCCTCCTCCTGCTCTAGCCGGTTCCCCTACCACTCCGGCCTCCTTCCTACCGCTCCAGTCCGCTCCCCTATGACTCTGGCCTCCCTCCTGCCACTCCAGCCTGCTCCCCTATGACGCCGGCCACCCTCCTACCACTCCGGCCACCCTCCTACCCCTCCAGCTCGCTCCCCTACCGCTCCGGCTGCACTCCTACCACGCCAACCTGCTCCCCTACTGCTCCTGCTCCAGCCGCCCCCTACCGCTCCAACCGCCCTCCTACCCGCTCCAACCCGCTCCCCTACCGCTCCGGCCACCCTCCTACCGCTCCAGCTCTCTCCCCTTCGACTCCAGCCACCCTCCTATCACTCCGGCCGGCTGCCTTCCTACCGCTCCAGCCCGCTCCCCTACCACTCCGGCTGCACTCCTACCGCTCCAGCCCGCTCTGCTACAACTCCAACTGCCCTCCTAACGCTCCGGCCGCCCTCCTACTGCTCCAGCCCGCTCCCCTAACACTCCGGCCGCTCTCCTACCGCTCCAGCCCGCTCCCCTACCGCTCTGGCCGCCCTCCTACCACTCCAGCCTGCTCCCCTACGCCCTCCTACCGCTCCAGCCGCTGCAGTTTCCGTCACCACCACCCACTGCAGCGAGGCCAGCCGCGGTACAGCAGGCTGCAGCCTCCAGCGTGCAGTAGGTGGCTCTGCCGCCCCTTCTCCTGGTCCTCTAAGCCGTGAACACAGTGGCTCCGCCCGCTAGAAGATACACAAGAGCCTGGAACAGCGTGAGGCGGCCTCAGCATGCCTTATATACTGAGGTTTTGCCCATGGTTCCTGGACTACATGTTCTGATTGGATGAGAGGAAACCTTTAGGCCTACTCTGATTGGGTTTTATTTTCATGCTCTGATTGGCTGGCCTCAGACTTGTTTTCATCCAATGAGACTGTGTAGTTCAGGAACCTCTGTGCATAACCTCAGTATATAAATGGCTCTGTTGGGCAGGCACTCCATTCTAGGCTTTTCTGTGTGTGTCGGCTGTGCTCCTCGGTGCTGGGCTTAGAGGAGTAGAAGACGGGAGAGCCAGCTGCCGCCTGCTGGAAGCTGGAGTCTGCAGTACTGCGGTTCGGTTCGCCTTGCTGCAGCTCACCTCACTGTGGTTGGCGGTAGCCACGGACGCATGCCCCTGGAGCGGTAGGAGGGAAACGAGTTTGGGGTGAGGTGGGAGGGCTAAGGAGGGTGGTTATTGCCGAAGGGACAAAGGATGGCGAACAGGATAAGATGTTGAAAAAAGACGGTGAGGAAAAGATGGTGGGAAAACTATTTTGGGGTAGATGGAAGGGGAAAATGGAGTGGCAAGTGAGAGGAGGAATGAGAGGATGGTGAGGGGGGAAGCAGGGGGCGAGGAAGAGGGAGAGAAGCTTTTGTGAAAAGATGGTGGGGAAACGTTTTTGGGTAGATGGAAGGGGAAAAGAGAGTGGCAAGTGACAGGAGGAATGAGAGGATGGTGAGGGGAGAACCAGGGGGTGAGCAGGAGGGAGAGAAGGTCTGAAAAAATACGGGAGGAAAGAAGACAGTGCGTAAAAGATTTTGGGCAGATGCAGAAGGGAAGAGGGGGACAAGTGGGAGAAGGAAAGGTGATGCAAAGAGGGAGGGGGAAGAGAAAGTGGGCAAGCAGGAGGGGGTGAGGTGGGAGGGCTAAGGAGGGTGGTTATTGCCGAAGGGACAAAGAGGATGGCGAACAGGATAAGATGTTGAAAAAAGACGGTGAGGAAAAGATGGTGGGAAAACTATTTTGGGGTAGATGGAAGGGGAAAATGGAGTGGCAAGTGAGAGGAGGAATGAGAGGATGGTGAGGGGGGAAGCAGGGGGCGAGGAAGAGGGAGAGAAGCTTTTGTGAAAAGATGGTGGGAAACGTTTTTGGGTAGATGGAAGGGGAAAGAGAGTGGCAAGTGACAGGAGGAATGAGAGGATGGTGAGGGAGAACCAGGGGTGAGCAGGAGGGAGAGAAGGTCTGAAAAAATACGGGAGGAAAGAAGACAGTGCGTAAAAGATTTTGGGCAGATGCAGAAGGGAAGAGGGGGACAAGTGGGAGAAGGAAAGGTGATGCAAGAGGGAGGGGGAAGAGAAAGTGGGCAAGCAGGAGGGAGAGAAGGTTTTGCGAAAAGAAGGGGAGAAACGGTTTTTTTACGTAGATGAAGAGAGAAAAGAGGGTGGCGAGTTGGGGAGGAGAAAAGGTTTTGCAAATAGACGATGGGCAGGAAAGAAAGACTGCAGAAGAAAAGACAGTGGATAAAGTGGATAGATGGAGGGGGAAGAGGGTGGCAAGTGGGAAGAGAAAAGAGGGGGTGGCCAGAGGGAGTGCAGAAAGAGGGATGGGGAAAAAGAAGATGGGAAAAATAGCGTAGAGGGCAAAGACGTGGCAAGCAGGATAAGGGGAAGAAGAGGGTGAGTGGGAAGCGGGGAAGGCTTTGCAAAAAAGATGGTGAGGAAATGTTTTGGGATAGATGGAGAAGGGAAAGAGGGTGGCAAGAAGGAAAGGGGAAAAAGATGATGGGGCAAACAGTTTTGGGGAGAGAAGGGGAAAAGAGGGTGCTGAGCAGGAGTGGTGAGAAGGCTTTGGTAAAGATGGGGAAAATATTTTTGTGTAGATAGAGGAGCAAACGGGATGAGAGTGAGGCAGGAAAGAGGGTAGGAAGAGGAAGAAAACACAGTGGGGGAAAACGGTGTATAAAAGTTTGGGGTAGATGAGTGGGGAAAACTGTAGTGAGCAAGAGAGTAGAGAAGTCTTTGTGAAATGACAGTGGGGGAAAATGTGGAAAAAGCTTTGGGGTAGATGGAGAAAGAAAAAGGCTGGCGAGAGGGAAGGGCCAAAGGCTGTTGGGAAAAGAAGATGGAAAATAATGCTGGGGGACGGACAGAGGGTTTGGGTAGATCTTTTTTCTGATTTTTAAATAAGGTTATTTGTATTTTTTTGCTTTGGAGAAGTTTTGAATCTTTTATATGTTTTCTGTATTAGCTGCTTGCCTGATGGCATAGTTTGCAAATTCTTCCATATTCTGAATTTTCTTCATTCTGATTGCTTCCTCTACTTTGCAGAAGCTTCTGTGTTTAATGCAACTTTGCATTTGACGCTTTTTGCTTTTGTTGCTGTGGCTTTTGATGTGTATTTGAAAATCCCTTGTCCTAACCAATTTCATGAAGGATTTATACTGTTTTCTTCTCTAGTAGTTTTCATAGTCGCAGGTCCTACATTTAAATCTTTATTTTGAGTAGATTTTTGTATTTGGTAAGATAACGGTCTAGATTTATTCTTGACCGTTTATTATGTATGTGTTTGTTTGTCCTAGCCACAGTTTATTGAAGAGACTGTCTGTTCCAAAGGTGTGTTTTGGTGCCTTTGCTAAAAATGAGTTTGACTTTAAATGCATGAATTTATTTCTGAGTTCTCTATGTCTGTGTGTCTGTCTGTCTCTCCCCTTGCCACTTTTATGGCCAGTACCATGCTGTTTTTGTTACTAAAGATTTATAATACATTTTAAAATCAGGTATTGTGATGTTTCCAGTTTTTTTTTTTTTGTTCATGATTCTTTTATCTATCTGAGATAGTTTGCATTTCTATGTGAATTTTAGGATTGTTTTTCTGTTTCCATGAAGAATGTCTTTTGTAATTTCACATGAATTGCATTGATTCTGCAGATCACATTGGGTGATAGATATTTTAATGTTCTAGTGCTTGGACATGGGCGATCTTTCCAACGTGTCTGTTTTGATATCTTGTCTCTTTTATCATTTTCATTGTGGGATCTTCCAATTTTTTGTTGTGTTTAGGTATCTTTTTTGGGTGGTAGAAGTAATGAAACAGCTTTCTTGAATTACGAAGGAACGTTGAATTTTATTTTTTTTTCAGCATTACTGAAATGATGATATATTTTTTCTTGATTTGCTGAATGTGTGTGGCACATTTACTTATTTGGGTTTATTGAATTGCCCTCATATTTCTCAGATGAATCCCTCTAAATCGTGGCAGATGATCTGCTTATTGTCTTGTCAAATGCAATGTTCAAATAGTTTTTGGTTGAGGATTTTTTTGCATCTGTGTTTATCAGGGATATTTGCCTGTGGTTTGCTTTTTTGTGTTGTGTGTTTTGGTCTGGTTTTTTGTACCAGGGCTGGCCTCATAGGACAAGTTTGGAAGTGTTCCTTCCTCTTTATTTTTGGGGGAATATTTTGAGTATATTTGGTATTAGCTCTTTTAAAAATGTTTCATTGAATTCAGTAGTAAAACCATGATTCTTGTGCGTTTCTTTGATGGGAGACTTTTTATTACTACTTTAGTTGCATTACCCATAATTAGTCTGTTCTGTTTCTATTTTTCTATTATTCTCTCCACACCAACCAAGGGAAGCAGTGGAGGCCCCAGCAAGTGGCCACACTAGCTGCTGCCCTTCTCTCTAGCCACTGACACATCTGGTTTATCTCAGTATCCCCAGGTGTCATGTGGGGGCAGAGTGTAGCCTTCCCTGACCTAGGAAAGCACCAACACAGGGCTCCAGGGTGAACCCAGAGTTGGGGCTGCAGCTAGAACTTCAGGGAAGGAGAGGACCCTGACCTCTTACTTCCTGGTTCCGGTGGTGAGGTTCCAGGAGTGTGGCCAGAGTGGGCCCTCAATGTTGTGTAATAACAGGACAGAGAATACAGCAGCCTTTAACACTTCACATGAAAATGTGGCATAAGAACCACTGATCAATCCAGTCTTGGTCAGAAAGGCATTGCCATTGTTGAGAGAGCCACTGTCTGAGTGCCTGTAGCTATGTATGTATGAAATATATACATATATATAATGCTGTTTGGCTTATGGTGTCTAAAATATTTACCATCTAAACATGTCATAAGAAATGTTTGCCTCTCCCAGTGCTACCTGCTTATGATTGTGCATGACCCTGTAAAGATTTAACCACTTTTAATAACAATAAACAATATTAGCTACCATTTACTGAGGCTCAGAAAGGTTTAGTAACTTGCCTAAGGTCACCACAGCTAGTAAGTGGCATAGTGGGATCTTGCAGTGACAGTTTGGAGGGAGAGGAGAATAAGTGATACACTTGATTACTGACATGCAGATTGCAGGTGGCCCCTGGACTTCAGCTTCTCCAGGTCTGTGCATAACTCCAAAACTGCCAGGCAGCTCTGTGACCCCAATATCTCCTCTTGAGGTTGCTCTGGGATGGCTGCCAAAGTTTCTTTTTAATAAAATCCTCATGAGAACACTGTGACCAGAGCTTCTATGTTTCTCTGGCATTTTCCTTCCCATGGGGCCGCCCAGCCTCAGCCGTTCTTTTGTAACTTGGCTAACTCCATTCTGGTTTCCTCCTAGACTTTACCTTGTGGGTTCACAGGGGAGACTACTATTGCTAAAACCCTGCTGAGCGTCGTTTCTGGTGGGCAGAGTTGACAAGCCACCTGTCTGTTGTCGTCGGTTCTTCTTCACTACTCCTGACTCATCTCTGCAGAGCAGACACACCTCACTTTTTGGGCATCACTGAAGAATGTTCTGGTACGTACGTTTTCTCAGGAATCAAAGCTTAGTGCTCAGAACACTCAACTTTAGAAATTGGAATTATTTTGCACATTAATCTTTTTTTTTTTTTTTTTTTTGTAAAAGATGGAGTCTTACTCTTACTGCCAAGGCTGGAGTGCAGTGGCACAATCTCAGCTCACTGCAACCTCTGCCTCCCGGCTTCAAGC